GGTTGTTGGTTGCATGGCCCCAGAAGCAAGCCAGATCTTTCCATAGTCCTCAGGGCTGGGAAAGCTCTGGTTATCTTAATGCATGCCCTCTGGGTACACTGGCTTAAAAGGCTGGTTTCTCCCAATAGTAGCAGAGGAATGGATCTTCCTGCTGCTACTACTCAGAATCCTCTGGAGAGCTTACCAATGCTGCATCGTCCTCAAAGCTGATAATTTTTCAGGCCTAAACAAATGTCACCTAACTACTAAAAGTCCTCCTTTGAAGAAGATGCCTTTCCGATCAGCTGCAATAGGTCACCGTAGGGATGGAGACAAGAAAAGGGAACTGGTAAGATGCCCTCCAAGTCCTTACCTCCAGGAGAGGCCAAGTCATGAAGCAAGAGGGCAAGAATGATGGGAATGCTCCTTTGCTGTTGTGAGGGTATGATAACAGAATTCTGAAAGGCTGCCGGAGTTTGCCCCTACTCTATGCTCCTTTACATTCTAACCACTGCGGTGGCACAGTGGTTAGAGTGAGGTACTACAGCCTATTTCTGCTGACTGCTGGCTGACTGCAATTTGGCAGTTTGAATCTCACTGGCTCAAGGTTGACTCAGCCTTCCATCCTTCCGAGGTGGGCAAAATGAGGACCCAGATTGTTGGGTGCCATAGGCTGACTCTGTAAACCACTTAGCGAGGGCTGTAAAGCATTATAAAGCAGTACATAAGTCTAAGTGCTATTGCTAAGTGCTATTACAGTAATCCTTATGACTGGTCACAGTGACTTTCAAAATTACAACAGGCCACCCTGGCAATACAACTGAATTGAATTTATTGTCATTATATGTATATACACCGTATACACACACAGCGAAATTCACATAACACCCAGAGACCAGACCCAACACGCACATGCACATATGTCAATCCCCAAACACCCCCCCACCCACCAAAATTTCCCGCCCCCTAAATTACAGACCAAGTAATACTGTCCAACTGCTCCCTGATGGTGGTCCTTAAGTTCATTGTTACGTGCAATTATAGCTCTGGGATAGAAACTGCTCAGAAAACTTGTGGTCCGAGTTTTAATTGTTCTGTATCTTCTGCCAGAAGGCAACAGCTTCACAAAGATTGTAAGCAGGATGGGAAGAGTCTTTGAGAATGTTGTGCAACTTCCTCAAACAGTAAGGTGCGAAGATGTCGTCCAGGGCTGGTAGCTGACAACCTAGTTCCAAAATTACGATGGCCATTGTCCCTCCCTCCCACCCACATCCACCCTCCCGTGTTCACACACAACTGTGTTTTGGACACTCAACCGCCGGCCTGCATTTCTGGCTGTTCGCAGGTCCTACCGTTAAATGGCATTTTAAGCTGTTTTTAACTGAAAACTGTCATTCACTTCTGTTTTTCGACCCACAAAGAGCCATTGGTTTACTTAATGGCTGTGCGTTCGAATCTATGCTCACTGAATTTGCTCCAGAACTGCCACACAAAAAACATGGGGGGAGGTGTCACGTGGATGATCCATTTTATGACTGTCACAACTTTTCACCATGATGGCCAGGCTCCACTATAATCATATGCCGAGGACTACCAGTATCTGAGAAGCATGCGCAGATATGAATAGGAGCACACAAATTACACATGTGGCCTCCGTGGCAGCGACTAGCGTGTCCCTTGAGAGCAGGCAGATTGTCCGGCTGGGGCTTGGGTATAATATCAACCCTGGACAAGAGCTGGAATTATAGACTGGAGGAGCATGAAATACGCTAAGAAGGAAGAGCTATTTCCAACAATGTTTTCCAACAAGCTGGGCCCAGGGGCAAAGCATCAGGCTTGGATATGGGGGAGTGGGGTGTCTCCTTAATTACCCCCAGAAACTTCCCTTTCCCCGGTCATTTCCGCTGCCTTGAAATCCACCCGTGACCTCTCCACTTTTGAAAACACCCAGGGCTCTTGCTAAGCTGCCCTGGGACAGACGGGATATTGTTTGGCAAGCTGGGGGACAAACAAAGAACCCTTTGAGCGATGTGAGAACAGCGGCATTGCAAGGCGGGGCGGGAGGCTCGGCCTTTTGTTCCTCCAGCTCCCGAAGAGGCACCCGGAGCCAATGACAAAATCCAGAAACAACATTGAGGGTGGGGGGAGGAGGAGGAGGAGGAGGTGGCACGACGATGTCTTCCTAGGGCATTTCTTCCCACCTCTGTCCTTCCTCGCTTGGGTGTGTTTTGGCTTGGAGATGCCATCTGAGAGCCGTTTGCACTGAAGCGAGAAAGAGAGAGAGAGAGAGAGAGAAAGAGGGAGGGAGGGGTGGAGGAGAGAGAAAGAGAGAAAGAAAGAGGGAGAAGGAGAAGGAGAAGGAGGGGGAAAGAAAGAAAGAGAGAGAGAAAGGGAGGGAGAGAGAGAGAGAAAGAGAGAGAGAGAGAGAGAGAAAACGAGGGAGGGATGGGGAAGAGAGAA